CACAGTTGCTGTTATTGATTCATTTTCATTCGTTCCTTCACCGGATAGATTTTTCTAGCACTGACTCTGCGTGCAGCAACGGAAGACTCTTAGCCTGCAGACAGGTGAAGGGCATCAAATTCATGTGTAAAAGTTAACCCAGGAGGGACCCTGATCCTGGTCTCCGTGATGGGTAGAGGCGCAGGGCCGTGGAACCCAGCAGAAGGAGCTCACACTGGGGTCCATCGAGGCTTGGGCAGTCAAGGAACCTGCCAAGGAAAATGGGAAGTTGAATTGGCTTTATTTACCTTTATTGTTTTAATTACATTTATTTATCCATTTATTTATCATTGTGTGTAAGTGTGTGTTCCTACCACAGCACACTCGTAGAGAGGTCAGAAGACAACTTTTGAAAGCTGATTATCTCCTACCATGTGAATCTTGGGGATCCAGTCCGTGTCACCCAGCTTGGGACCAAGCACCTTTCCCCACTGAGCCATCTCACCAGCCAATGCTGTTTTCTTTTGTTTCTGTGGAACTTGCCTGGCCCTCCTCCTTCCCCAGCTATTCTGGGAGAGGTTTGGCTGGTGTGGACCAAGAAGGCAGCACACCTTCAGCATTTAGGAAGAGGTAGAACACAGGGCCAGCTGCACCTAAAGTCAGACAAGTGGGATGAGAGGGAACGCTGGGCTTTGTGAGATGCTGGGCAGAGGCTGCTCTGACTGGATCCCAGTGATTGCAGATGGGGCTGGAGAGGGAGGCGGGCAGAGCCCAGAGACGCCCTGGAGGCTGCATTAGTCAGCTCTCTCACAGGCACTGCTGTGAGTCACTCAAGACTGCACCTTATAACCGACCTCTGCTTCTCCGCTTCCAGTGAAGGGACAGAGACACAGCTCTACCCTCAGCAGCCCAAGGGGTTCCCTTAACCCATCAGGGACTTCAGCTCAGGCAAACCCGGGATTCTTGCCTTTGACACAGGAGCAGTCATAATGAGGCAAAGTTAGAGGTTTTACTCAAAACAGAGAGAGGGTCTGGAGATGACTCAGCACGTTAAGCGCACTTGTTGCTCGTGCAGGTGACCCAGGCTGGGTTCCCAGCACCCACGAGGAGGCTCAAGACTGTCTGTATCTCCAGTTCCAGGGGATCTTATGCGCGCTTCGGGCCTCTGCAAGCACCTCACATCACACACACGGTGCAAACATACGCGTGCAGGAAAACACTCATAGCACATAAGGTAAAGTAAATGAATAAATTTAAAAAAAAAATAGAAAATCATTCAGGGAAGAAAAAAAATCAACGTACACTCCAAGAGCAGGGGTGCGGGTTTCTCAAAGAAGACGCCCTTTCCTTCCAGCCCTCAGCCCCAGGCAACCCTCTTATCAGCACAGACTAAGTTTCCTTGTCTCTACCGTTTTATAAACAGCATCACGATATTGTTTCTCCTCTCAAGATGGCTTCTTCCTCGCAGCTGTCTCATTTGACTCGGTATGCTGTGTCAGAGGCTCGCGCAGCAGGGCCCAGCTGCCGTGGAAAGCCGAGCAAGGCTGTTGTTTGCATTCTCAGTGGCTAGCTTCCTTTTTCACTGGGCCGAGTACTCCGCTGTGGCTGTGTGAGTGTCCCCTCAACCATCTCAAAGCCACAGAAATCTGCCTGCCTCTGCTTTCTGAGTGCTGGGAGTGAGCCACGTGCTCACCTGGCTATAAGCCTTTTTTTTTTTTTTTTAAGTAACAATTACTGGGTTGAAGAAGTAGCCCAGTGTGTAAGAGCTCGTACTCCTCTTGTAGAGCACCTCAGCTTGACAACCCCAGAACCCATGCCAGGCAGCTCGCAACCACCTGCAACTTCAGCTCCAGGGATACCTAATGCCTCTGACCACCTAACTCACCATCATTCACACACACAATTAAAAATGAAATAATTATATTAATTTTTTAAAATAATTTTTAATAATTCTATTAAATATTTTTCTTCAATGCTTTTTTTTGGTGGTATTGGTGTTCGGTTTTTGGGTTGGTTGGTTGGTTGGTTGGGTGTTTGTGCGTTTGTTTTTTGGTAGCGCTGAAGATTGAACCTAGATCCTCGCATATGAACCTAGCAGGTGCGCGCGCGCGCGCACACACATACACACACACACACACACACACACACACACACACACACACACCGTGCGTCTCTCAGCCTGATTTATGTAGTACTAGGGGGCACCTGTGGGCTCTGTGCCCACTAGACCATCGCTGGACCAGCGGAGCACGCGCACAGCCTTAGCACAAGTCCCTTAGAGGAGACGCTCGCCTTTCCCTGGGGGGCGTCTCCGCGGCGCTGAAAAAGCCAGGTCACGGGTTAGACGGGGTTGCTCACTGGGTCAGAAGCGTCGGGGGAGTTTTCCAAAGCGGTTTCACTGTCCTCCAGTCATCTGCATCCGAGATCCTGCAGCGCCTGCGACGGCCAGGGGTCGCTCTCTGTGTCCCAGCGGCTCTAGTGAGGCTGCCGAAGGGGCAAGCGTGCAAGCAGCGGGCTCAAGAGCGCGCTCTCTCTCTCGCTCTCTCTTATTTCTCTCCATTGCTCAGTCTCTCAGTCTCTCTTTCTCTGTCCCCTAAGCCCCTCTTCTCTCTCTCTCTCTCTCTCTCTCTCTCTCTCTCTCTCTCTCTCACACACACACACACACACACACACACACACACACACACACACACACACACACACACGTCATGTGTCCCAGGCTAGCCTCAAACTTACTGTGTAGCAGAGATGACCCTGAACTTCTGACTCTCCCGCCTCCGCCTCCCAAGTGCTGGGCTTGCAGTGTGCGTGCGCCCCCAGAGCCATTTCCACCCCAGAACCTCGCGAAAGCCAGGCAAACACCCTAACCACGGAGCCACATCTGCTGCCCTTCCCAATCCAGCTCTCTTCTGGGCTGCTGCCCCCAGCGCCGCTGTCAGCGGCTTGCCAGTAGGAGGCGCTGGCACGGGAGTGAGGGAAGGGGCTAGAACCCCGGCACTCTAGCCCTGCCAGACGCCTCCTGTTGATCTCCATCCCTGGGTTCCCGCACTGCCCCGCCTCTCTGCACCCTTGTAACCACTTCCCTGATTTTATTCTGAGTGTGTTGTTTTTACACTTAGGACTAGAATCCTTACGCTTTGCTCAAGTGTCACCTTCTCCGCGATGCCTAACTTGAAATTAACCACCAGGCACTTGGTAATTCTCTTTCCTGTTCTGTTTTCCTCCTGTAGCAATTATCGTGTCCTTTCATACTATTCTTATACATTTTACTTATCTTTACTCTCTCACGGTGTGCGCTCGCGTGCGCGCGAGTGTGTGTGCATGTGCGTGTGTGTGTGTGTGAGAGAGACAGATGTGTTTGTGACAGATGCTAATGTGCAGAGCCCTACTGATTTCCACCTTGTTCCTTTGCAACAGGGTCTCTCATTGAGCCTGGAGCTACAACTGACAATGAGCAAGCCCAAGAGATTCTTCTGTTCTGCCCCTCCCCACCTCACCCCATCACACACAGCCAACCCCCCTCATTCATACCCATAACACCTTCCCATCCACACACACATACCCACAGCCCCTTTTCATTCACACACAAAACCCCTTCCCATTCACACAAACACCCTCCCCGCCCCCTTTCACACACACTTACTTGAGTAGTCAGACCTGGCTATTTACATGGGTTCTAGTTTTTGTTTTATTTTGAGGCAAGGTCTTAGGTAATTCAGGCTGGCCCCCAATTTGCTATGCAGCCTAAGGGGACCTTGAACTTCTGACTCACGCACCTCTACCTTCCCAAGTGCTAGGATGACAGGCACGCACCGCCAAGGCTCTGCTGTCTGTTTTACTGCATCTTCACTGAGCAGTGGCCAGTACAGAGCAGACAAAGTAAGGTGAATGAATTAGCATGGTCAAGCTCCCCAGTAGGAACGCCTGAACTAGGACTCTATGGACCTTGTCGGTTCGGTGGGCGACGGGACCCTAACTGATAGCTGAGGGAAGCACCTTATCCCTGGATCCCAGCATCCCTCTTCTCAAAGCCGTGTCCCTGGAAGAGATGAGCCACACACACATTCAGGACCTCCCATGCTGAGTGGGCCACCCTGACCCCTACTCAGAGGCCCCAAAGCTGCTCCTGAATTCAGCTGTCAAAGTACACATTTGGACACAAAAGCCCTTCATGATTAAAGTAGGTCTTTCATCAGGAGTGGGTGAGATCAGAGGTCAAGATGGTGCTAGCCCGCATTTTAAAAATGAATCTTGACCCCTACCTCAGAGCATACACAAACATAGACTCCAGATGGATTGTAATTTCAATGGAACAATGAAGCAGTAACTTATAAGATGAAACAGAGAATGTCTTTGAGGCGTTGCATTTGGAAACAGTTTCTGTGTGTGCATTCTGTTTATAAAGAAAACACGGAAAGCACTTCCAGGACAGAGCTGCTAAACTGGCCAATATAAGAATTAAAACTTCTCTTTATCAAAGGAAACTTTAAGAAGAGGGAAAAGACAGACGAGGAGGTGGAGGACAGTATTAGTGAAACACAAACCCAGCTAAGGGCTCATGCCCAGGAGACAGATGATAGAAAGACAGAGAGACAGACAGATCCTATGTGTTACCATGCGTGGTGGCGGGTTCCTTTAATCCTAACACTCAGAAGGCAGAGACAGGTGGATCTCTGTGAGTTTGAGGCCAACCTGGTCTACATAGTGAGTTCCAGGACAGCCAGGGCTACAAAGTGAGACCTTGTCAAGAAGAAGGAGGAGGAGGAGGAGGAGGAGGAGGAGGAGGAGGAGGAGGAGGAGGAGGAGGAAAGGGAGAAGAAAGAAAAAAGAAAACCAATAGAAAAACGGGCAAAATATTTAAATGATCTGGAATGTGGCTCAGAGAGAGGCAGAGTGCTTGCCTGTGTGTTAGGCAAGATTCCATAACACTAAAGAGGATGGATTAGGTTGTCTCACAGGGTGTGATCCAGGCAGTCCATCAGTGGCTGTCCATCACCTCACACTGGAGAGGCCAAGTGCTCAGTCCACAGGGTTGGCTGTTTCTGAGGTTCCAATCAGTCGAAGCGCTGGGGGATTTCTGGAGAGCTGCTGGTCTTCAGGCTGTGCTAGAATCCTAAAGAAGTAGGATCTAATAGCCACCAGGGCATGCCACAGCACCAGGGTGGATGAACCTGCCAGCAACAGTGAGGGCAAACAGGCAAAAAGCACAGCTTTCTCCTCCTAGGCCTTTTTATCTGGGCTGCCACCAGAAGGTAACGCCCACATTTAAGGTGGGTCTCCCTGCTTCAACAATCGGATCAAGGAAATCCTTCAGGGCTGGAAAGATGGGATTCAGAGGTTAAGAGCACTTTTGCCTTTACGGAGGACCACGCTTCAGATCCATAACTTTCTTTCATGTAAGTGGTGGACATACATACATGCAGGAAAAACACTCATACGTGTGAAAAGAAAATAATCTAAAATTTTTAAAGATCATGATAAAGCCCACTATTTTGTACAATTAAAATACATTCATTAAAACAGAAATTTTCAGTTATATTAGTTAGTCAGAAAAATGTAACCCTCTTATGTAAATGTGTTCTCTGATCTCCACACGCATTCTGTGTCTGATGTATGGCCACATACACACAAACACACACACGCACACACACACACATGTGTACACACACATAGTCGGTGAATCAACACTTAAAGAAGTGCTACTTCTTTGTGTAACAATATCAGAGAATTTCACGAAGATGCCTTTGGGTGACGGAAGCCAGCTTGCCAACTGTAACCATATGGGAAATTCAAAAGCAGGCAAGATAAACGCATGATATCGGAAGACAGCACTTTCTAGTGATTCCCTTGCTGGGTGGTGGATGGTGACTGACCGGAGCGCCTCGCAACATTCCAAGATGCTGCTCAAGATTCTGTTTCTTGAGCCAAGTGTGACGGGGTATGCCTGAAACTCCAGCATTCATAAGGTGGAGGCAGGAGGGTCAGGAGTTCAAGGCCAACCTCAGCTAGTTAGAGAGCTTGCGCTCCATCTGAGCTACATGAGATTCTGGTTCAAACAACAAAAAAAAAATCTAAGCCCGAATTGTGTTTCTTCATCAGAATGTTGTTCATTCAGGTGCACTCCGTGGGCATCAACTAGACACAACACACGCTCGGATTTACGCTTGTGTGTGCTTGGATGTGTTAAGCAAACCTTACCTGAAGTGCTTAGGACAAGAGTGTTGGAGCATTCAAGGCTGGGGCTGCAGAGGTGGCTGGCTCCGTGTTGAGTCATGTGTGGTGGCTCAGGTCTGTAACCCCAGAACTGCGGAGGCAGGTGGATGTCTGTGAGTCTGAGGACGGCCAGGTCTACATGAGTCCTTGTCCTGTCTTCCTTTCCTGACTATGACATGGAACTGTAAGCCAAATGAATCCTTTCGTGCCCAGCTTACTTTGGTCACAATGTTTCATTGCAGCAAAGATGACCCTAACTAGGACAGACAGGCTCTGTGGTGCAGCCCCACCAGGCCTCTCTGAGCATCTGCCTGAAAATAACCCTTGACGCCAGCACAGTGGCGTGTGTCTAACCGAGAGACATTTGGGATGTTTACCTAGGAGGAACTCAAGTTCAAGGTCAGCCAAGGCTATTTAAAGAGACGCTGACTCCCAAACACCCTCCAAAGTTGTTATTATTATTATTATTATTATTTAGATTTGCTTATTTCATGCACATTAGTATTTGCCTGTGTATATACATATATATGTATATGTGCCGCGTGTGTGGTGCCTGTGGAGGCCAGAAGAAGACATTTGGATCTGGAGTTACAGATGAATGTGAGCTGCCATGTGGGTGCTGGAAACTGAATCTCAGTTCTCTGCAAGAGCAGTGACTGCTATTACCCACTCATGCACACACACACACACACACACACACACACACACACGGGGGCAGGGCTGGACATCTACCTCCGTTGGAAGAACACGTGTATAGCATTCAGTCAGCCCTGAGTCTGAGCCCCAGCGCCTCACAAACTGGGAGGCATGGAAACTCAGAAGGTCAACATTATCTTTTCTGGTTTCCTGGGAGTTTGCAGTAACTCTGAGATACTCGAGACCCTATCCCACAGAAGGATGGATGGATGGATGGATGAATGGATGGATGGATGGGTGGATGAATGGATGGATGGATGGGTGGGTGGATGATGAAGGTGGAGTGTTAGACCTCTGGTTAAACTTCAGCAATGGTGTCAAGTGCCCCAGGGTACTGAGGGACTAGGGACACAGTCCTAAACTGGTCTTAGCTCTAAAATCCGGTCCCTTTCCCCTGTAGTCATACCTTCTCCTCCCAGGCCCCTTCCCAGAATCTTTTCCTCCATTTCTACACAGGGCCCTCTCCAGGGCTCCCCCCCCTTCCTCAGAGCTCTCCTGTCACCTACATATAAACCTCTCTCCAGGACCTTGAACACAGGAAGGGATAAGGAAGCATTTTGGGGGGTCGTGGTGAGGCCTAGTCTGTTAAACACAATCACGTGAAGATGGTAAGCTACTGGATTTCAGGGGTGGCTAAACAGTGGACAAATACTAGCCCCGAGGATTCACAGTGAGCCGCCAAGGGACACGTGTTCCCAGTGGGCTCCCTCACGGCGGTGCTCATGGAGGGAACCAGCCCTACACGTGAAATCAGCGCTTACAGCTGACTACCCTGCAGTCCTCCTTGCTCAGGACTGTGACCCTAACAGGCGACTGGCATCATCACCCCTGTACAGACAACCACTCAGAGGCACCAAAAGGTTGTCACTCTGTCACTCGACCAGAGACCCAGAATGTCAAAGCAGAGTGAAGAGTCCGAGCGGAGCCAGTGGCTCCCACGTCCTCGTGATAACCAGTCAGAATCCTGCTTTCTGTGACCCGTGGGACCACCCTTGCTGGAAGGACCTTGCAAGGTGGCTTCGGAGGTCAGCGACAGCGCCTGCTCAGTGGCTCAGAGTCCAGGGGGAACTCCCCTGAGTCAATAGCAAAGCATCTCTGAATGCTGCGGCGGCAGGAAAGGCCACCTACAGCGGGCACATGTGTATGTGTGTGTCTGGGCTCGCCTTAGTGTGCAAGTAGGTAGACGGGGTGCGGGGCTGGGGCCGGGGGAGACAGTCTACCTATTAGCAGAAAGTAATCAATCTGAAGGTTCCTCACTTGCTTGGCACACGGCAAATATTTGTCGAATTAAATTGGAATTCTAAAGACAGCGCTCTATGAATGGGAGGCCCTGCTATCACTGTCGCCTCCAAGTCACAGGAAAAAAGATGCAGGGGCAGCATCCCTTGGCTTCCTCTTGCCTCCAGAGCAACGCTCCGTAGCACGGACTCCTTTGGGTGGCCTCTCTCCCGGGAGATAGCCTTCTTGAACTGGCTAAAAGTCCATGAAGGCGATGGTGACAAAATGACAATCATAGCAGTAACTGAGAGGCAAAGAGCCCTCCATACTGGGTACCCGTGTGCTAAGTGTGGTGGAGTGACTATTCCCCAGCTCTTTCCACACAGCCAGTGAGGATGGCACTGGGTATTCAGAGAAGAAAGCCCGGAAGGACTGGTCATGAGAGCGAGCACTTCGTGCTAAGAATAGCCAGAGAACCATCTCTCCGGCTCTGTTTCTGTGTGTGTGTGTGTGTGTGTGTGTGTGTGTGTGTGTGTGTGAAGGGGGATGTGCATGCACATGAGAACATACGCACAGGCATGTGCATACAGAGGCCAGAAGTTGATTTTTGGGTCTCTCCTCTGTCACTTTCCACCTTATTTACTGAAACAGGGTCCCTCTTGGAACCTGGAGCTCATCAATTTGTCCAGTTTGGATGACTAGAAAACAGCAAAGATCCTCCTGTGTCTGAGTGCTGGGATTATAGGTGCATACCAGCAAGCCTGACTTAAAAAGAGAGGAAGGAAGGAAGGTAGGAAGGAAGAGAGAGAGAGAGGGAGGGAGGGAGGAAGGAAGGAAGGGAAAGAAAGAAAGAAAGAAAGAAAGAAAGAAAGAAAGAAAGAAAGAAAGAAAGAAAGAAAGAAAGAAAGAAAGAAAGAAAGAAAGAAAGAAAGAAAAAAAGGAAATTTTGTGGAACAGGGGTTGGAGGTGGGGGTTGCTACAGCCCCACAGGGACAAGAGATCAGAGGACAACTTTCTAGAATCTGTTCTCTCCTTCCCCTCTGGGTTCCAGAGATAAAGCACAGGTCATCAAGTTTGCATGACAAGCACTTTTACCCCGTGCTTCCTCAGATGGCCCGAATCTGGCTTTCTGCAAGTGCAGACAGATCCCCTGGCCTGGGCTAGTGGAGTCTTCAGCTCGGGGACAGTGACAATCCCTGTCTCAAACAACAAGGTGAATGGCACCTGAGGGGAAGCTCTTGGCTTGGCCTTGGCTTACCCCATCTACACACACATCCATACACAAAAGCCCAGAGGCCAACAGAAGCCCTCTGTCCCGTGCTTCACAGGAACAGCTCCTTTCCTCACCCCAAGAAACCCCGTTCACTCTCAGGAAGGTCAGCCTGATGGACTTGTAAGATCTGAGACCTCCTAACCAGGTCACTAAGAGAGAGAGCTGGGCCCTGAGCTGGTCCTAGCCCCATCCCCGCCCTGGTGGCCTTCGAAGTCCTCCTCAGCCCCCGTCATCTGACTGACACACCTATGACACGGTGCCTCCTCCCAGGAGGTCCAAAGCCTTAAAACTTAATAGTCTCTCCAACCCTGTAACACTGGAGGGGGCTTTTATGAACTCTACGGGGCTAATATTATGAGGGGGCAGCCACCACCTCAAGCGGGCTGCTCACAGCCAGGGGCCCCTCCAAAGCGCCTCAGAGGCCTCAGAGGCCGGCTCCACTCCCAGCCCCTCTGTGTCTGATGAGGTTATGACAGAACAGTTTGCTGCAGACAAGGGCCTGGTGGGAGGCTGGGACCCTTGTACCCTGGCTCGGGGGAAGCGGAGGAGCAGGGGGGAGGGGCCGGGGGATCTCGGTGACTAATGAGCAGGCAATTGAAAGCTCTGTCGTGTCAATGGGGAGCAGATGGAGGAGGAGGGGGATTTCTGCTGCCTGGCTTCTGAGGTGTGGCTCTGAAGGAGACAGAGGAGGGAGGGAGCAGGCACCAGGTGGTGGGCCAAAGGAGCTCCTGCCAGGCTCTGGAGCACACTACCTTTTCTGCTCTGGGGTCCAGCATTCTCTATTGCTGTCTTTCTTTTTCTTTCTCACTCACCCCCTTTCCCCCCTCCCCCCCCCCCCCCCCCCTTTTTTTTTTTTTTTTTTTTTTGAGACCATTTTACTACTTAGCCCTGCTGGCCTGGAACTCACTATTGTAGACCAGGCTGGCCTCAAACTCAGAAACCCGTCTGCCGCTGCTACAGATACTGGACTGAAAGGTGTGCGCCATCAGGCCTGGCGTCTCCCTTCCTTCCCTGTTCTCTTTCTTCAGCCCTTTCCCGTTCCTCATGTATGGCCTGTCCTAGAAGACCAGAAAGGGGCCTTCTGCCTGGGCCTCAGTTGGTGCAGGCAGAACTCCCAAATAAAACACATACAACAGGAAATAAAGGGCCATGACGGATTTGTCTACACTCACACACTCACACACACACACACACACACACACACACACTCACACACAGACTACACTTTTCCCAGACACATACATACACTTCCTGCACACACACAAACACACGCACACCTATCCTGGACACAGGCTTATACTTCCTGCACACACACAAACACACAGGTGCACATGCTCCTATGTGCCCTACACAGACACGTAAGCAAATCTACTTGCAATCATACTTTTCAGGGCACACTGACTCACAAACACAGGCACACACTCACACCTTCCCCAGACACACATGCACACGAAAGCCCGGGTGCCCGAACACACACATATTTTCTTCATTACCGCCTCAAATACTGTCTTCTCTTTCGGTCTTGAGTTCAATGTTGTTTTTTGTCTCTTTTGGGCCCTCCCCCTCCACTTCCCCTCAATTTATTCCAGCTGTGAAAACCTTTTCCACATCTCCTCTGTCACCCCAGCAGATAGGTGAGTGGCAGGCAGAGGAGTCTACTCGGCAGCCACCGTTGGTAATGGATGCCAGATGTAGAGCTGGCCCCCGTCCCGGCTCAGCCCTGAGCTGGGGCTCCCGCCCTGGCTCCTGCAGCTGGGCAAAAAGAACCCCAGCCTAGGCCAGGATCAGCAGACCAGACTCGGGGGACACAGGAGGGAGGACCAGGAACAGAGCTGTTGAGGCCGGGGGTGGGGGAGATGAGGATGGGAGCAGAGGACCAGAAACCCCCCCCCCCATGGCACGAT